TCGAAGGCTGGTAATATTTTGACAGTTAAAAGATCCAAACTTAAATCTAAAAATATAAATGTGTTGTTATTTATTAATCAAAATAAATAGTTGCTTTCTTAAAGCGTTGTAGTTAAATAATTATTTTTGTACAAATACTATTAGAATCTTCAATTTTCATTTCAGTTCTAGGTTATATTTTTAAACCGATAGTACTATCGATATATCGATAGTTAATCAACCACTACTATCAAACTATCGATAGTTTTAGAATTGGATATTTTCCCACCACTATTCAGACCTCAATTCAGCTAGGGAATTCTGTAATTTTCATTTATATCGCGAAAGCTAAGCTAAACTATAGCGAAGTCGATGTATGTTGATATTCTATAAGGTGTTCGCTTCGCTTTCGCTTCGTTTTCCTAGTGTCACACGTCACAAATACGATTTCGAACGACGAATGGTTAAATAATTATGGCAACATTGTAGATATATGAGCCCAAAGCAAAAACCGTAAAAAAAAGAAGACAAAATGGAAAGGAACATATACCAAATTTGGATTTTCAATATTTGAAACTTCACTGACATAATGAATCATTCTTATTTTTCTTTACATAAAATTTACATTACATTTTGTAGCGTTTGAAGCTACTTGGTATTTAGTTGTAAATTTTATTTAAAAATGTCTTGGAACAGCAGGTTGTACAGGATGGCCCGTTTAAGAGGGCCCTATACCTTATCTCGAAATCTACAAGGGTTGTAGAAAAAAATTAAATACAAAAGTTGTATCTAATAAAATTATCTACAATTTTTTTGCATTGTTTTTGTTGTCACTCTGTTATATACAGGGTGGACAAATAAAATTTCATTTTTTTTAATGGAACACCCTAAATGTTAATGAACTTTTACATAGCCCTTTGAAAGACAAATCTAACGATATACTGCACATGTGTCTGTGATATACCGTTTCGAACTTATAAGCGATTATCTTCAGGATTTGGGGTAATATTCAACAGACACTGTTACGTTACTACTAAACTTTTAAAACTTTTTTTTGCATGAAATTATTTATAGACTAATGCTCTTCTTCAGACTATATTTAAATTTGAAATATTTGTTTGAAAAACGGGGTGTTGCCACGTTTCGCAAAATGTTGCGCTTTTAAATTTTTTTAAAAAGGACCTCCTGTAAAGTTTCGAATTTTTGGATAGCTCTTTAAAAGATAAATTCAACAATATACTGGAAATTGGTCTGCGATACACCGTTTCGGCCTGACTGGCAATTATCTTCAGTTTTAGCACAATATTTTATCTGTCCAAGTCGCCAGGACTGGGACTCTGTAACAGATATAGATCGTTATCCCTATCGCTGTTGCACTTGCTGTCTTCTTCTCTCTTTTCGAAATCAATAGAGAGAGGACATCAATAGAGATAGGGAAAATATCTCTATTCGTTACAGAGTCCTAGCCCTGGATCCTTTTTCTTGAAACAGCTAGGGGAGCAGCGTTCCCAGAAGAACGAGTGTTCCGTCTTTCTCAATGACACGCAAAGGATAATATAAGCAACAAAGACGGAACACTCGTTCTCCTGGGAAAGCTGCTCCCCTAGTTTAAAGAATAAGGACCCTGGTGAACAACAGAAATGTCTATTATTTTCCGTCGACCGACTAATAACGTGCTTTATTAAGCACGATATTTGATCTCATCCCTGGTTGTGCTAATGATTTGCAAAACTTGACAACAATGCGTATTTTTTTTTAGAATACTTCAAGCAGTGTATCATCAAAAACACTATTTAAATAAATCTACTGCTGAATAGTTATCTAACAAACGAGTGTAGTGATAAGACTTTTCTGTCGCCTTTATCTAAAACAAAATTGAAAAATCCCGATTTTTATTTTTCACAAAAACAAAAAAAACAAAAACGTATATAGAGTCTGTTTTTTTTTAACACGTTCACTACCTCCGGCCACTATAGTGGTCATTACGGTTTCCTGTTGTGAACCGCGGCCAATAATCTGGCCATATATTCCTATACCCTTTTATTCACTAAAATTTTGAAGCGGATCGTGAATGGTGCGGGTATTAAGTACATTGGTCCATTCCTAATGTTTCTTGTGCGCGCAGAGCCACTATAGTGGCCTCTGGTTCTTTAGCGTTGCTGTATTTTGTGATACATGCCAGGTGTATTATAGTGCGTTTCTTTTTATACTTCCATCGGACCAACCACTCCAAGGTAAAGGTCTCAATCCCGTACGATCCAAAGATGGCACAAGATCGCTTAAAGACAGTTCCTTTAATAATTCTCGTTGAAAGGAACACTTTCAGGAACTACTCAACAGAGAATCACAAATTACAGATGATATCTTCAACGGAATTCCACAGAAACCAATACAACAAGAACTGAGCAAGGTTCCTAGATTAGAAGAGGTTGAAAAGGCAATCAGACAACTACAGAACAATAAATCAGCTGATATTGACGGCATCCCTGCTGAATTAGGTGCCCAAACTCACATACTAATAAGTAAATTATGGGTTACTGAGACTGATACTTTTTTGTAATATATTTCATGGAATCAGATGTATTTTCCTATATTATACTATTAAAATGGCTGTTGGTCTATTCTGATGTCAAGCACCACTCACAGACCAGTGGCCAATTTAATGGCCTCAAAACAAAATGGCGTAATTTTATTTAGTAACACCAACTGATCTTATCTGTCTAAAAATCGTTCAAATATTCATAATACTTTTAAAGATATTATACCTGGTCCATAACAAGTGACAGCCCTTTAACGCTCTGTAGTGAACGTGAAAAGATAACAGTCAAAATGACATTATGTTGGAAATTTCCCTTGTGCAAATTACACTGGAAATTTTGCATACACGTTGTCAAAATTTATAAGTGGGAATTTTTGGGAATATCCCGGGAAAAATTTCCAGAATTGTCATTTTTGACATTGTTAGTTTTAACAATCACCATATAGTATCATGACATATACATTAAGTGAGTACGCTTTCAGCCATTGCTAAGTTGCTATGGACATCAAACAAAATAACTGCCGTAACCAATGTAAATATCTCAATGGTTTGCGGTTTTGTTGTTATTTTATGATTTTTTTCACGAAAATGTCTCGTTTCGGTACTTTTTCTATAGAAGATATCGATAAAGTCGCGCAAAATAGCACTCCAGTGAATACAATAAAGAGCAAAAAATCCGTTTGGCTGCAGTTTAGGCAGTTCTGCTTGGATAAAGGCCATTCTTTTGAAGATGTGAAGTGTTCAAATGAGAAACTGAATGAAATATTGAAAGACTGGGCATTCAACATGAAAAAGGCCAATGGGGAAGACTACAAAGAGTCGGTAGTTAAAGTAATGTGGAATAGTATAGCCAAACAACTGCAAGAACTGTACTACGAAAAATGGGGCACCAAAATCGACCCTTTCAAAGGTTTGGAGTTTTCTACTTCAAGGAGAGCAAGAGATTCGAAGAGAAGAGTACTTCAAGCAATGCCAATAAAAAGAAAAGAAAGTGCATCGGCCCTCACCTATAACGAATATCAGATTATCATATCCTTTTGGAGAGAAGACACCCTCGTCGGCTTGCAAAGGAAATTTTACCACATTGCTGCTGTAGAGCTTGCATGGAGAGGCGGCGAGGCTAGCAACCTTCTGGTGACTCATTTTCGGAAGGAGATACATAACGATGGAACTTTTTCCGGTAAGTAGTGTATACTTTCTATTTAAATGCTACCTATCTTTTGAATTTTTATTCGTACAATAACAACCTTGTAAGATGGATAAGTTCAGGCATAAAATACATTTAGTTTTTTTTTTTTTTTTTTTTTTTTCAGGGAGAATTGAGTATAACCCTATTTTCTCAAAGACGGCTCAAGGGGGTTCAAAAAAATGTGCTGATAGCAAATGGCTAGTTCGGAACAAGAAAAATCCAGAGTTTTGCCCGGTGCGCCTATTTGAAAGCTTAATGGCTCGAAGACCCCCAAACGCAACCACAGATCGATTCTTTTTAACGTCGAATCCGAAGTTTTTCCTCCACGACATCTGGTACAAAACCATCCCAGTGGGAAGAAATACAATGTCAATGTGGACAAGAGATTCAGCTAAACGTACAGGACTTGACCCAAACAGCAAAAAGATCTCCAATCATTCAAACAGGTCTACAACAGTGAGTCAACTAGCCAAATCGGGAGTTAAAGGCCAAGAGCTTATCAAAATTACAGGTCACGGAAACATAAACTCGATAAAGCCATATCTCCAACTTGATGAGGAACACCATGAATCACTAATAAAAGGCTCAAGAAACACTGCAGAAAATGCACTCCCTAGCGGGACGGAGAGTTGCCTTATAAAAAAAAGTGACACTAAAACTGATTCCGATGTGTCTATCCCAAGAACCATTATGCAACCTACACCAGAGTTTTCGGGAATTCAACCGCACATGACGGCTATGAATAGTCTAGCAGTGAATCAGAACCATAACATCCCTGTTAATTATAATAATTGCATTTTTTATTCTAACTGTACTATTAATAAGCAAGACTAAGGTTACTAAATGATAACTGTGTAATGAAAACTTTTTTTAATTTTCAATAAAAAATTTCGACACAACATAGTAAATAATCTTCAAACTCGGGAAATTTCCTATCAAAATATAACACGTGCATAAAATATTTCCTGAGGGAAATTTTAAAAAAATTTCGACTTTAGCCAATTTTTCTAAACAAAATCATTCGTGCATAGCGTCAAAGAAAAAATTCCTCACCCATCGGGTTCGGGATTTTTTCAGGCGCTATGCACTCATGATTTTGTTAAAAAATTGGCTTCAGACAAAATTTTCAAAAATTTCCGGAAATATTTTATGCACTAGTTATATTACTACTGGCAATACAATGTAAAATTGTCAATGCCTTCAAATTTTTTATGTTTGTCTACTTGTGTTGCCAACATAGTTACTAAATTTTTGACTAGGGGAATTATCTTTAAAAAAAAAAACAGACTTTAAATATATCGCTGCCTCTGCAGAATAGTGACACATTTCAAAAAATCACCATTCTGAACAAAATGCAAAATTTGATGTTAAAATGTGTCTATTTTGTTAGGAACAACGACATATACCTATATTTTAATAAACACCCCAGAGATGGCGCTAATGTCACTATTCTTTACTTACGAATTTTTTCACTTTATTCCGGGAATATCGTCCTCTTTTCAGATGTATCGCATGTTTGAAAGGGTGCGTGCGTTTTTGTTCCGGAACAACGTCACATTTCGAAACACAGCCGCTGTTTTTGGAGAAATTATGCGAAACATTGACATATTGCGGATTGTGACGGTTTTCCAATTTCATGTAAGTATTAAATTAATTCCGATTCACAAGTATAATGTCTTATTTCAAAATATGTCATTTTTCCTACAATAATGAATTCTTTTTATATTTAAGGGGTTCCGGTATAATGACTGTTTGCTAATGTGTCATTATTCCAGACACTTTTCAGGAATATTTACTGTTACATTTTAAAATAAGACATTATTCTTACAATACAAAAAATTCAATATTCATTCGGATCAGCACTACAATGTCTCTTAGCAAATAGGTCATTTTTCTTTATAATATTTAGGAATATTAGCTAACAAAAGTTTGAATGTGACACTATATTCCAAAGGAAATTGAATATAATTTGAAATAGGTATTATTCAAAGGCAACATTAAGTAAAATAATAATTTGTAAGTAATTATATTAATAAAAGATCTTTGTGAAGTTTTATTATTATTTTTATCAAAACTTTCAAAAGAGCATAATTTTCAAGACAAATTCAAATTTAATAAGGTACCTATTATTTTAGTGAATAAACATGGAGAATTCCCGATCCAATTTTAAATTAATGCTGAAAAACGCAATCATAAAATCAAGAGAAAATAAGTCGGAACAGTTTGGTAAGAAACTTTATAAATAATTACGATATAAAATTAAGGAACACAGAGTGGATTCTTAATTTTTTACAGATACATCAGTAGGTGGTAAATTAGAAACCGCAGGATCTAAAGCAGAAATAAATATTTTGAAAAATGATAATCCAATTTTAAAAGGTAGGTAAATAATTTATTGTTGACCTGTTTTATTTTTAATATAAAATATTATTATTTTTTTGAAATTTAATTAGGTACCAAGTTTCTTTTTATGATTTTAGATATAACCTTAGAAAAGGAACCAAGAACTACTACTACTACTAATAATAATGTATGTCAACCATTATCTGAAAAAGAAGTTGATAGTAGAGATGCTATATTATCAAAAGGTAACAACATTTTTTCGATTCGCTTATTACTTACAACTTATTTTCTTTATTTTCAGAAATACCACAAAAAAAATGTGATTCTCTGGTAACTGGACATCTGATGGGTACAGAAGCAATTATTGATGATGAAACAAAGGATACTTCTGCTGTTTCATTACAAGGTAAAAGCAAACAACCAAATACCTATCTTGGTATCATTGTGGCCATTTATTTATTTTCAGTAATCAACAAAGTGAATGAAGGTAAGGAAAATATGCCTGTCAATGAAATCAGCTCAGCAGAATCAGAGGATGGCCATGAATTATTGGATTATTCTTCAGACGATAGTCTTAAAGATCCATTGTTTAAAAACCCTAGTAGTTCGTCTTCAAGTTCTTCGGATTCATCTGACTCTTCGTCGTCTGGGTCTTCATCTGGGTCTTCACCTGAAGAACTTGAAGTAGAACCAGAAGGTGATCGCGATGAAAATATTGTGATAGAAAATGAAAAAAGAGGAAAGAAAAGGAAGGCCAATCCTTCAGGATCCATAAAAGCAAAAGCAAAACGTTTGAGAAACGCCGGAAAATCGTATATTTCTAATTCCAAGAACAATAAGAAAATTGTTCCTGAAAGGAAAATGGGTCCCCCATGTACTGAAAAGTGCAAGCATAGATGTTATTTGACACTGACAGAAGACCAGCGCCGCAATATTTTTTCGGCTTATTGGAGTCTTGGAGATATTCAAAGGCAGAGAGAATTTTTGTCATCGAATATTGTATCAATTGTTCCGAAATATTCTTACAGATTACATAACAGCAACTGTGCTGGTAAAAATGCATTCTATTTTGTAGTAGAAAACAAAAAAATACGTGTGTGCAAGCCATTTTTTCGATCTACTTAAGCGATAAATGATCGCCCAATTAGAACAGTACTTGCCAAAAGAAGAAACTCAGTTGGAGGTATAGCAATACACACGGAGGTTATAGTCAATGTAAACAACAAGATTCGTTGTGCAAAATTCCAGTTTTTCTTACAATTATCCCAAAGATAAAATGTCAAAAATGTTACCATTGTGTTCAAAATTAATAACTGAATAGGTGTTACAAATAGCCAATAGCTAGATTATCGAATAAATTCGAAAATCGTGAAAAAGTGATTTTGAGGTTATAAGATGGCAAGTAATTGTGGATCCTGTACTGGTGAGATTATTAAAGAAGAAAAGTATGTCCTCTGTGACAGCTGCATGATGTCTTTTCATTTGGATGAAAAATGCTTGGGTCTTGCCGCAAGGGAAGTACGAGCAGTTGAGCTAAAAAGTAGATCATTGATATTTTTCTGTCCTGACTGTAGAGAAGCATTCAAGAAGATACCAAATCTAGTCAAGGAAATTAAGCTCCTAAAATCTGATCTCACAAATGTAAAAAAAGAGCTTACAGAAGTAAATAATAGGGTCGAAACTATGCAAAACAAAATAGTGAATCTTGAAAATACAATAAATTTACCTGAAAATAAAAAAACAACAAATCTCGAGGTTCAACAAATGGAGGATGTTATTGCTGAAGTGGAAGATAGGAGATATAGATCAAATAATGTGATTATACTTAATATAAATGAATCGTTAAAGGCAAATCGCGGTGAGAGACTTGAAGATGAAAAGCAGACTGTTTTGGAAGCCTTGGAGAGTGTGAATATAACAGACAGAAATATAGGCATTCAGAGGTTGGGGAAATATGTACAAAATAGATGCAGACCCCTAAAAGTATGTTTTGCAAATCCCAATGATGCAAAAGAAGTTTTAAAAAACAGGAAAAATCTACCAAATATGAAAATGTTTGCTGATCAAACTATAAAACAACAGAAATACTACAAAACTATAAAACAGAAACTACTAGATATAATTGCAAATGGGGATAATTCAAAAACCATAAGATACATAAACACTGTGCCAACAATTGTTTCGAAGGGTGATGAAAGAGGAAGAAATCAAAAAAACCTTTAAGGCCTAATATACAAGCGAACACTCACAAGGAAAATATATTAATGTTAAACCAAGATATTGTTTACCTTAATATAGAAAGCCTTTATTCTCATAAGGTGGAATTAATGTCAAATGTTATGTGTTATGATCCAATGGTTGTCGTTTTGAGCGAGGCTAGAACTACCGTTGATGTGTTAGATGCTGAATTGTTAATAAACAACTATAGTATTGTACGGTGTGATAGTCACTCAAGACATACAGGTGGAGTTGTATTTTATATTAGAAGCGATGTAGAGTACAAAATTAGGGAGTCAGTTATACTTCCCCTAAACTATTGGATCCAGTTTGTGGAGGTTAAAGTGAGTGGTAGGAAATGGATGCTGGGTGGTCTATACCATTCTCCTAGCTCAAGTCATGCCACTTTTGTAGAACATCTTGAAGAGGTAATTGATAAATATTTTAGCTATAATAAGTGTTTGTTAATAGGGGATATAAACATAGATTATAATAATGAAACTTGTTTTTATACAAGAAAAATTAAAAATCTCTTAAACACGTTTGGTGTCGATCAGTTGATTTCCACATATACAAGAATAACAAATGTTTCTAAAACAATAATAGATTATGTGATGACAAATTATGATAATGTTAGCTCTGAAATCATGGACGTACCCAAAATATCAGATCACCTAATAATTGCTTTGAACTTATTCAATTCTTCTAAGCCAAAAGTAGAGAAATTTGTGAATGTAAGAAAATTAACTGAAAATGCTTTCAATCAAATAAATTTGCAACTGTTTTCTGTAAACTGGAATTCAAGGACTGTAGATGTTAATTTGGTAGTAGGGGAACTCTTAGACAATTGTACAAATGTTGTAGATCAAATTGCACCTGAGCAGAAAGTTAGATATACCTCAAACCAAGTTCCATATTATGATGTTACTTTAAAAAATATCTGTAAAGAAAAAAATATGGCCTACAAACGGTTTAAGGCTACCAACAGTAATTGTAGTAGGGAAAATGCATGGGATAATTATAAGAGATGTAGAAATCAATATGTAAACATGCTCAAGTATAAGGAAAGGTCTTATTATGAAGAGAAAATTGATCTAAATAAACACAATCCTAAAGAGATGTGGAAATACTTAAAGCAAGTTATCAAACCAACCGAAAAAGTGAATTTAAATAGGATACATTTTTTAATTAACAATCAGATCAAAATTGAAACAAACCCTAACAGAATGGCGAATGCATTTAATAATTATTTTGTTGAAAGTATAGTTGAAATTTCAAACAGTATCCCTGCCACGGTACCCTGGTCATCACTCAGTTATGAACAGGTGAATTGCACCTTGTCTAGTTTTCGTGAGATTTCTTTTCTAGAGTTAAGTAAAATAATACTCTCTTTGCACAAAGTAAATAAATCAGAAGTAGTTAACAGCATATTTCTTAAAAATACTTTGCATTCGATTGGGCATGTAATATTAAATTATGTGAACACTTCTATTCGTACAGGTGTATTTCCTGACCAGCTGAAGGTGAGTACAGTCACGCCAATACCTAAAGTAGTAAATACTCAAGATGCCTGTAATTTCAGACCTATAAATACTCTTCCTACTCTTGAGAAAGTACTTGAACTAACAATACACAATCAGTTAGTTGATTATTTTAATGAAAATAATCTATTTTTGGGCTATCAATCAGGTTTCCGAAAACAACATTCATGTGAAACAGCACTTCAGTTAATAATAACAGAATGGAAAAAATGCATTGATAATAATGAATATGTAGTTGCTGTGTTTCTTGATTTCAAACGAGCATTTGAAACGATAAATAGACAAACCCTCTTGGAAAAACTAGAGTATTATGGAGTGACTGGACTAGCATTGGGCTGGCTAAACAGCTATTTGAGTAACAGATACCAAAGAACAAGGGTGAATGATTGTCTGTCGGACTTGATTTCAAATGATATAGGGGTTCCTCAGGGTAGTGTCCTGGGACCGCTGTTATTTATAATTTATTTAAATGACATAAATCTTGTTGAAGGACCGCATCAAATAAACCTTTTTGCAGATGATACTCTTTTGTATATTGTTAACAAGGATTTAAACAAGGCTCAGGTAGACATAAATAACTCTCTGAAAAGTATAGAGTCCTATTTAGCTATCAGTAAATTAAAACTAAATGTATCAAAAACCAAAGCAATGGTATTGACAACGCAAAATAGGCACAAGAATATGGATATCAAATCTTTTAGGATTGAGGTTGATTCTGAAAAGATTGATATTGAAACTGAAATTAAATATTTGGGATACATAATTGATAATAAACTGAACTTAAACAGACATGCTGAGTACACAATCGGCAAAATCTCAAAAAAGTTGTATTTTTTCAATAGAATTTCAAATTCTCTTTCTATGTATGCAAGAGTTACGTGTTATAATTGCATAATAAGGCCTCATTTTGATTATTGTGCCTCTTTAATGTACCTATTTAATCAAAATCAAATATCCCAACTGCAAAAACTGCAAAACAAAGGAATGAGAACTATTCTAAAGTGCAGTCGATATACATCTATTGAAATTATGCTACAAGCACTTCAATGGCAAACAGTTTATAAGAGACTTTATTACTTGAGCATGGTTTTTATTTTCAAAATTGTTAAGGAGCAGAGCCCAAAATATTTTTCTAAATTTTTAATATGTAATAATCAAGTTCACAACCATAATACAAGGACACAGAACAACTTCTATATTGCTAGAGCTAACCTGAAAAGTAGTATGAACTCTTTGTTTTTTAAAGGGTTGGATGCTTACAATAAGCTACCAGACCATATAAAAGGATCAACTAATGTGAACCAATTTAGGAGGGAGCTATTAAATTTTATCTGAACTGTGTACCAGAGTTATCATGCCCTGCTGGCGTAATGTTGGGTAACTTGATTATTTGAATTGAAGTCTGTTGTATATTACTTGTGTGAAGATTAACTGATATAAAATTGCTTAATGTTTTCAAATGGTTTGTAATGTGGGTATACCTATATAGGGACTAGCTTTGGATGGAATATTTGTGTGTTTATTTGTTTAATGTGAAAATTTCATTGATATATGCAATGTATAGATATAATATTTTGTTGTATATTAGGCATGTCCTAAAAAAAAAAAAAAATAAAGATATATATATATATATAGTTTTACTAGATCGACGAGGCAAGCATGGCAATCACAAAAAAACTGACAACTCAATTAAGGATGGTATTCGTAATCATATTAATTCTATACCAAGAATCCCAAGCCACTACTGTAGGTCAGACACAACCAGGGAGTTCATTGATGGAGGAAAATCTGTGGCTGAACTCCACAGAGATTATGCTAATGAATGCAAAGCAAATAACTTACCTTATGGAAACTATGTCATGTACCATAAAATATTTTTAGCAGAATTTAATATAGCCTTTTTTTCTCCAAAAAAAGACCAATGTGAAGATTGCACGGCGTATTTTAATGCTACTGAAGACATTAAAGAACAACTTAAGTCAAGTTATGACATGCATCTAAGGGAAAAGGAGTTGTCTCGACATGAAAAAGAAGCTGATAAAAACAATGACAATCCGTCCTGTATTGTAGCTGTTTATGACTTACAAGGATCTTTACCATGCCCAAGGGGAGACGTATCCAATTTTTATTATGTCTCCAAAATAAATACCCTAAATTTCACAATATACAATTTGAAAACCAAAAACGTTCACTGTTTTGTGTGGCACGAGGGTGAAGGCAACCGAAATTGCTTCATGCGTTTTTACTTACCTTGAAGATCTTAATGGAAACGCAAAATCAGGAGAAAATTTGGATATTATATTTTTCTCGGATAATTGCTGTGGACAGCAAAAGAACCATTTTCTTATAGCTATGTATTTGTATGCTATTACAAAATTTCAATTTTTAAATTCCATAACGCATAAATTTTTAATTAAGGGCCATATACAAAACGAGGGAGATAGTGTCCATTCTGTCATTGAGAGAAGGATTAAAAGGTCTTTAAAATCGGGTCCCATCTACACACCAGACCAATATGTAAGTTTGATTCGGGGTACCAAAGAAAATAAAGTTCCTTATAAAGTTCACGAAATGGCCCATGATTCATTTTATGACATAAAAAGCATCGCTCCCGAAATTGGGAATAATTACTCAAAAAATACGGACAATGAAACATTTAAACTCTCTGAGACGAAGATTATTCGAGTTGAAAAGGAACATCCTGGTGCATTTTTTATAAAAACTCTTATGGCGACATGGAGTATAAGAAAGTTGAGGTGGAAAAAAGTAATACTAGGAAGGCAAACAAAAATAATAATTTTAACCCTAATCGTTCTGTTGTGCTAAAGAAGGTATATAAGCGCAACATTCCAATTTCCGATAAAAAGAAAAAGGGTTTACTTGATTTAATTAAAAAGAATATTATTCCCAAATTTTACGAAGGATTTTTTAATAGCCTCTAATAAAAATGCCAATTTTTTATACCTATACCTACTTACTTAAGATCAACTCAGTTTTGACATGATTACTAATTTAAGTTCTTCTCTTTACTATATTTGTAATTTTCAAAGAAAATAAACAGTTTATTTTTTAATTAAGATGTGCATTTTATTCAAAACCCTAAACTTGTATGTAAATAATTAGGAAAGAAATCATGAATATTTTTTTGGAATAGTGACATATTTTCCTAAAATTTTCAAAAAACGAGGAAAAAAGGATTTTAATCAAAAAAATAATTTTATATTCTTTATTTGAATTGACGTGGCTGTTTACAACTACAAAATGAATAAAAAATGTTTGGTGAATAATTTAACTAGTCAAGATAGTTTAGTTTTTATTATGTTATAAAAGTTAAAAATGCTCTCCTGAAAAAAAAAAGGTTTTTTGAAATATGACACTATTCTGGAGAAGCAGCGATATGTTGAAATGCGACATAAGCGACATGCAAACTGAAATCGTGCATTGATAAAAAATGATGCATTAGGTGGCGTTATTGAACGATTTTTTATACATTGATAAAACACGTTAATAGACGGTCGACGGAAAATAGATATTTTTGTTATTCACCAGGGTCCTTATTCTTGAAACTAGGGGAGTAGCGTTCCCAGGAGAATGAGTATTCCGTCTTTGTTACTTATATTATCCTTTGCATATAATTGAGAAAGATGGAATCAGGGACCCGGACCGGAACGATATTGAACCGAAAACCGGAACGAAACCGTTTTTTTTTGTGGACCGTAACCGGAACGGTACCCATATTTCATAGAAATGTTGTAAGGTAGACAGAACCGGAACCGATATGAATGAATCGGTTTTTACCGGTATTTTTCGGTTTCAACATTTCATAAATTAGGCTGTTTACTGATTGTTCGTATCATAAAAAAATTCTTAATTCAATACTCTAAAAACAGAGCGTTGGAAAGCGCGCATTTCTGAACTAGGCAAGGCTACACCAAGGATACTACACATTACACACTACTACAGGATTGCTCATCGGCCTTGATTTTTGGAATCAAGTTCATATGGTGTTGCACCGTTGTCGACGTCATCAACGGTGTCGTTAGCGGTTTGCGCCAGCGGTCTTAGTTAAGAATATACATTTATGATGAAAAATATTATTTCATTTTGAATTAGCAAAATAGGCAAAGAGAGAGAGACAAATAGGATGTTAATTAACCCAGATATGCCTAATGTGCTTAAAAAAGGACAATTAATACAGGTTTCTTTTTGTATATCCCAAGTAAGATATATCAGTTATACAATAGAGGGTGCTCTAAAAGAATAAACTATAACCTTCGTTTGACACATTTATGCGGCATTTGCAGTGTTTACAAAAGGTTTTGTGGATACAGTGATTTTTATTTGCTCTGTATGCGAAAATGGCATATTCAATTGACCTTCGACTAACGGGGTGAGTATTTCGATAAATTTTTTAGTCATAATTGAATGTAGTCTACAAAATACGTTTTATATAGAATAAAACTCACCACATTTGCTGAAATTCATATAATTTATTTGATAGCTGATATAAAATGGCGCATACAATACTGCTGTCCTTTTTTAAGGACACTAGGCATTTACAGGGTCTTGAAGTTTTTATTTTTTCTTTGCAGTGGTCTTACTTTGGATGAACTCCTTCGTAGTTTGGAAGAAGATGAAGAAGATAATTTGTTAGATGAAGTAGATATTGCGATAATGCCGCTAACAAATGCTTGTCAAGATATTACCGACGAAGATTCAGGTGAGGAGGAAGTAATGACAGTGAATAATTTACCGGGTAGCCAGCTAAGATCCGAAGCGGAATTGATGCATGCACCTGAACAGAATGATGAATTTGATGAAGAAGACAATATTCCTCTAAGCTTGTTGAAGACATCAGGTCAAAAACAATTCACCTGGGTCCAAAAAGATTTACACCCTAAACCAATTTTCTGGCCTATGATTCAAGACGTGAAAAATAACTTATTTATTACATATATGTAATCTTGTCATTACTGACTTTTTAAAAATTTGGAAGTGAGACTATACCTGTGTCACTTCCCTCTTCGATTTCCCTCACCGATTTCCCTATTCGACTTCCCTCACCGATTTCCCTCACTCTAATTTATTTACCTTTGCTGGCAACAATGAAAACATGTCAGGTAAAAACGTCAAAGCAGCGAATGACACATTTTGGCATGTTTGTTTTATTTTTTTAATATTAAAAAAATTGATTGACTAATCATAATTAATGGTGTGCTTGCAAATAAAATAGTATACAAACCTCGGAGGGAAGTTTTCATTTCTGTCTCGAGATTATTAGTCAATCTCGACGCTTCGCGTCTCGATTGACTATATAAATCTCTCGACAGTAATGAAACACTTCCCTACTCGGTATGTAATATACTATTCCTAGTCAACTGTTCCTTCAGCTGTTTGATGAGGAAATTATTAGTATGTTTGTTCAATTTAGTAAAAAAAAAAGATTGGCAACATCAGTAACCAAGAAATGAAGTATTTTTTTTGGAATTCTATTGCTGAGCGGATATGTCCCTGTGCCAAGAAGACGTATGTTTTGGGAAACTTCAAGGGACACACGAAACGAACTCGTAGCAAATGCATTATCCAGAGACCGATTTGAATTTATATTATCTAATTTACATTGTTGTGACAATGATATTCTTGATAAGGAATATCGATTCGCCAAAGTTAGACCAATATTCGACAAAATAAATAAAAATTTTCAAAACTTTGCTCCAATTTCGGAAAACCATAGTGTAGATGAATCAATGGTGCCATATTTTGGCAAACATGGTTGCAAGCAATTCATCAAAGGAAAACCTATACGATATGGGTATAAAATTTGGATGGGCGCAACGAGTAATGGATACTGTGTTTTGCTGGAACCATATCAAGGTGCTAAAACAAAAATATGCACAAATTATAAACCATTCGGTCTTGGACCATCTATCATACTTCAATATAGCGATGTACTTTCTCAGCTTAGACAATTGCCATATCATATTTTTTGTGACAACTTTTTCACAACAGTTCCCCTGTTACATGAACTTCAAAATAGAGGCATTCGTGGAAGAGGGACAATCAGAGAAAACAGAATGTCCAAATGTCCTATTTTATCTAAAATTGAAATGAAAAAGAAAAATCCAGGCGACTATGCTTATCGTTCTTGCGATAACAAGGTGGTGATTGTCAAATGGCATGACAATAATACTGTGAATGTCGCATCAAATAATGTACCAGTACAGCCATTTCACCAAGTAACAAGATACTCTCAAAAAGAAAAAAAAAAAAACGAATAGGTGTAAATCAGCCTCATAACGTATTTCTCTACAATAGTTTCATGGGAGGAGTGGATCGCTGCGATCAAAATGTTAGCCTTTACAGAACTTCCATCCGCGGAAAAAAATGGTATTTCTGCCTAATTGCTTATTGTTTGGATGTTGCGGAGCAAAATGCATGGCAGCTTCATCGTATGCAAGCTTCTAATGGACCTGGAAAATTAGATCACTTAACATTTCGCAGACAGGTAGCTCTACGTCTATTGGAATCAAACAAAAGCAGCAAGAAAAGGGGACGGCCTTCGGCCCTAGAAAATATAGAATCACGTTTTGATAGCCAAGAACATTATCTAGTTAGACAGGAAAAACAAACTCGTTGTCGAATATGTCATAAAAAAGTTCAAAAAAAGTGTAATGTGGCTTTACATATGGAATATTTTCAAAATTATCATACAAATAATGTTTAACTAATGAAAAAACATGTTTTTATCCTTATAATATTGAATTGAATAAATACTTTGGTTTCTGTAAAAATTTTATGATTTTATTGGTATTTGCCCACTGTCCTTTTTTATGAACAGCTTCAAAAATCGATTACAATTTCAAAAAAATATATTTTAACAACTTTTATTGTTATTTTATAATATTTGTTCCACAAATATGCAGATTTTATCCAATAGTTGAAAAAAAAATAATTCAGGCATAACTGGGTTAATGTACTAAAACCAAGTACCTATGCATAAAGCAAAAGTCCGCAGAATCAAAGCCTATGGTGCAAACACCCTACGTCAAGGCGAGAAACCACACACTGCGACGTCATCACTGATACTTTAATTTTTCTGCTAAATATATTTTTTAAATTTTTCTTTTAAATATTTGTGAAAAACTATAAAGGTATGAACCTGTAAAACCGAAATTATTGGTCCGAACCGAATCGAAATATTTCTCTTAGAACCGGAACCGTAACAGAACCGATATTTGTCATGACGCTGTGGACCGGAACCGGAACGGAACCGATGTTTCATTTCGGTCCGGGTCCCTGGATGGAATACTCGTTCTTCTGGGAAGGCTGCTTCTCTGTTTCAAGAATAGAGATCCAGACGACCTGGACAGATGAAAAATTGTGCTAGAACTGAAGATAATTGTCAATCAGGCCGAAACGGTGCATAACAGACCCATTTTCAGTATATCGTTAAATTTGTCTTTTAAAGGGATATCCAAAAATTCGAAAAT